CTCTGGACGTATGCGCAGGAATGTGATTTAATAGATATCTGGAGGTAGCCAGAAATCGCCGAAAAAGTTGAAGATAAATTGTACCGTCAGAAGGCTGGTGTCCACGAAAGGATAGCAGAGAGAATGCGGGACTTAGGCCACAATAGCATAACATCGGCAATTGTTGTAACAAAGTTGAAAAATCTAAGAGCAGACCACAAGGCTGAGAGACGTTTTTATTCGTGGGACGGGCAAGGGGTCGGATAATGTAATAAGGGATGACCCGAAATCGGCATGCCCACACTACCACACGCTAAACGAAATACTTGGGGGAAAACCCAGTGTAAACCCTCCAGCTGGACTCCTCAGCCAGTCTAATCAACCGCCGAGACCTAGGCCTAGCTTACGCCTATAGTCTCGATCTAGCATAAACTACTCGCGTGAAAATCAACAGTAATTAATGATGTGTTTTCCGAATTTCTGGTAGTCAAAATATCTCGCTCTAACCTTAACGTCGAACGCGATTAGTGGATTTAATCCAATTAACTTGGCAAGTAGATCAGCTACTTCATCTGGCTATAATCCCATATGAACCTAGCTCATGTGTCTACCAGTTCTACTTTACAACTGATTACAGCTGTACAGCTTCAATACTATTAGAAAGTTGGGAAAATAATCAGTCACTGCAATGTACAATGCAACAACCCTGAAAAATATGCCAGTTAATCATATGTACGCCAATTTTAAACAATCTTCACTGGCTTCCAGTTGATAAGCGAATCATTTTTTAAATTCTTCTTCTCACCCAAAAATCTATCCATGGTGGTGCCCCACTTTATCTCTGTTCACTTATTGACAAACATGTTTCTTCCCGTTTTACTCGTTCTTCTCAATCCCTCAAACTTGTTACTCCACGAGTCAAGCATATTCGTACCGGTGAATGCTCTTTTTCTTTTTCTGCTCCTAAACTCTGGAACTCTCTGCCTCCTCAATTACGTATCATTTCTGATCCGCAATTATTCAAATCTACTCTTAAATCCTTCCTCTTCAAATAGTTCAACTTCTTTCTAACATCCTCCAGCGCCGGTGACAAGCCAGTTTTGTTTGCTTTAATAGGCGCCTTAAAAATGTGTATTATTATTATTATTATTATTATGTCTTCGATCCCTCGAGCTTCTACTAGGACTTCACTCCTTGACCGACCCCAGCGAAATCCATGGTCAAACAGCTTAAGCCAAAAGCCAAGCCTGTCCTGTCAGGCAAATCGTGGCATCATTCTGCCCTGTTCTTTCCCAGTGGAATTATTTGACCCAAAGTTGAACTGTTTTTCACTCCATGCTGGAC